TGATTTGAATCGTGAGGTTTGGCAATTAGTCTTAAATGTTTAGACGCACATATAAACTATCTAAGGCAAAAGTGTATAAGTCCAAGAAGCCTTGATAAAAGATTATCAAAGTACTAAGTATTAGAAACATGGACTTAAGAAATTCAATAGGTATTGTCTTTCTGAAAGTTAAGATGTTTATGAATACATGTCAAAGCTAGTGGGAGCATACGTGTTATGTTTTATAGTAATCATCATAATAGTGGGAGCATAAATGTTATGAGTGTATGATTATTATGGAAAGTTTTGCAAGTTGGCAATATTAATTATAGAAAACAAGAGTTATACCTTGCAAAGTCGTAAGGGTTGTATAGTTGTTTTGCTATAATTAAGGGAGAGGATATTATGCTTCATTTCAAATCTAAAGGCTTAGGTTGAGAAATGTTAATAAATTTAGTCAAAGGTACATAGTGTGTTCTTAAAATTTCGATTATGATTACGACATTCCTTTTCACAATTCGAATTTTGAGAACATAGCAAAATTTCGATTACGGCATTCCTTTTCACAATTTCGATTATGGCTTCGGGTATAGGATCGATTGCAAGTGCTTTAATGTTTGACCATTCTAAAATTTTCCAAATGTCCAGCGCATTTAGAGGGAAAAGGGACTAGAATTGGTTTTGACTAAAATAATTAAACAACTATCAAAGGACGATGCGAAGTTCGACGAGAATTGGTCACTTGTGAGTAGTTAGAAGTATAGTATTGGAAATTATGGAAATGTTTCCATATTGGATGGACAATATCGACATTATTACGAATAGATAAGATTCTATTAAGAATAAGTTGTCATTTGGAATATATGGAAGCGTGTCCATATTGGGAAGTAAATATTGAAAATCTATGTCTAGATTACAAACTTTTATGCAAAAGGATGTTCAAAGGAATGTACTTTGAGTGAGAGACATCATATCTAAGGAATTGTCTTGTAACAATCTACGTTGGAGGACTTTGTAATATCATTGGCAATAGTCTTTGAGACTTTGGTGCAGTGACATTACAAAAGGATCGTTGCATAAAGTGTTAGAATCTAGTATATTCTATAAGTAACAAGAATTTGATATTCTTACACTTAAGAAAATGGATTTGGAGTTGTAAAATCAGAATGATTGGAAATGTGTTCAATTTGTCTATTTCAGAAAAGTAAGAACCATAGGTAAACATTGTGTGCATGCTAGGAGCATGGGACAAGTGTAATAATTCAAGTAAGAAGTTGATTACCCAAAACGACAAATAATGAGTAATCGATGTGGTGATAAATAAAACGTGTTTTATTTATACTCAAAGGTTTGAGGCCATATGGGATTAGTATTATTCTTGTGTTTCACCTTGCATGTTTTGACTTCCAGAATAATTGAGTTTATTAAGAATAATCGAATTATTCGAACGGACCACAGTCGTTCATATGTTGGAAGTAGATATGAATGAAGACTGTCGTGAATTGGTGTGTGGATTGTCTAAAAGAGTATTAGACATAAGCAAATGTTTGCTGCAACGTTCATGAGTGCTTACGAATATGATTTGAGCATTGGATTAAACCCACGCTCACTTGGATCACTCCATGAATTGTATCACGAGTGATTGGTGAGACGATAACATCTTATATTCTTGAAACCAAGATGTGTGAGTTGTATCTTGCTAATCGGTTGCATATTGATAATATGTAAACGCACTAGTAACTTGGTGTTATAAAACATATTGTTGTGTGTGATTTGGTTAGTGAGTGCAAGCAAGCATTGTATCGAAGTTTATCCGTTCCTTTTATCCAAAGAAGGATAAAAGCGATATCTTTGGGACCCTCGATGGTTTAGTGATGACAAACGTAAATGCTCGGCCGGGCTAGGGCTAATTTGATTTGTTCAATTAGTCAGTCATCATAAATCGGAAATCGAGATATAGTACAAAGAGAATGATTAAAAATCATATCTCAGACGATATCTAGAATGGAGGAATATATGATCCCTTATCTAAGGACACACGTATCTGATAGGATCAGAGTTGACAGCGGCTTTGGAAAGCTACGATTGCAGATCAGGATCTGAAGTTATGCGCATAATAGTTATTAGACTTATCCAAGTGGGAGACTGTTGGATTAGTGTCTAAGTCCATAACTATTTTGGTATGTACTTGACCCAATGGTGCATGGTCCTTTTGGGTTGCCTTCACCAAAACAACTTGATTGGAGAAATATATAGAGAGAAAGGATATTATGATTTATTAATATGTTATAAGAATAATATATTAAAGGAGAAATCATATTTGTTTAATTAATTATGGTCAATAATTAATTAAGAATTAATTTTGTGATCAAGTGTAATTAATTAAACTAGAGGGGCTGATTTGTAATTATGTGATAGTTACAAAATAAGGTAAGGATTATCTTATTGTTAGGTTGGACGAATTTAAGGTGATAAGGCCTTAGAATTCGACTATGATAAGGATTCAAGGATTATCTTATGGGTTGCTTTGTGGATAAACAACTAGATAAGGATAATGACTGAAACCCTATCTCTGCACCTATATAAAGACCCTAAGGCTCATGAATTCGTGTATCCCTTCCCAAGAAGTCCTAAGGACGAATTCTAACCTCTCTCCTCTCTCTTTATACCTTCTCCATTTGCTCTTGGTGTTTGTAAGCCATTAGAGGAGTGACACTTGTGACTCTAAGCATTCCAAAGTCAAATCAAGGAGATTTGGGATTGTTATTGCTACATAACAATCAAGGTAATATCTTAAACCTAATTTTATGTTAATATGATTACTTGCATGCTAGGATTAGGGTTTATAGTCTTGGTTTCAAAGCATGTATAATAGAGAAACCTAGATCCAAGCATTAGGGTTTGTATGAGCACATAGGATGTCTTATGACCAAAACCCATCACATTTATCTCTAGGATTTAGAAGTATAACTTCCTTTTGATGATTAAATCTTTCTTTCAAGAGATTTCAGAAAATACTTGGATCAGTAATATCAAGATATTCAAATCTCAATATTTCATCAATATGCTTACGAAGGAAAACTTGTCCTCATGTCTTGTGCCAAGAAATTATTAAATTTATATATAGCATATGAGATTCTCATTGGCTTAAGATGCACTTTTACATCTATCATCCATTGCACGTAGTTTTTCGCACTAACTTCAAGTGCTGCAAACTTGAGCTTTGCAATGTTGGACATATAGTAACTATAAATTTTAAACAAAATAAAATGGTGAAAATTAAAATCCATTTATTTCAATATGTATTGCACAAACAGAAGTAGAAGAAGAAACATCCCATGTAAGACTAAGAAAGGAAAAAATAAATCACGATAAAATACATCTGTTGTGAGGTTGAAAATTAAAAAGCCAAGTGGTATAGTCATTATAGTTGCGAGAATCACAACTAGATGAATCGTTTTCATGATAACCTTGAAAAGTGAGATAATTTATTCATTTTTGTGGTAGAAAAATATGATAATGATGTTATTTATAGTAGAAAATATAATCATTGTTTTTTGCGGTTTATAATCTTTGCACAAACCGTTGTATATATATATATATATATATATATATATATATATATATATATATATATATATATATATATTACATATATGTATATGTAATTTATAAATCATTTAATCAAGACTTATATTGAGTACATAATTTAAATGTTAGTAAATATTTAAATAAAATTATGAAGAATATCTAAAATACAAATAAATAAATATTGGTATGTATGAAAAAACGTTAGTATACATAAAAATTAGTTGCATAGTTTAAATTTTAGTATATATGAATAAAAATAAGTCGAATAATGTAAATGCATAAATAAAAGTTAGAATACATAAATAATGGTTGGCAAAATAAATAAATATCATTAGTCGTTAATAACGAATAGTTTTTCATAATTCAATATTATTTTTAATATAATTGTTGTTTTATAATAAATAATTTTTTTTATTAAGTAATACATACCTTGAGTAGAATAAATGTGATTTTCACTTGATTAGAGTTTCGTACTGATAACATGTTATAAATTCGACGTAATTAAAACTAAAACTAACAAAAACTAAACTAAAACATTATAAAATTAAAGAATGAGATTTGAAAGGACTTTTTAACACTTAGAAGATTATATTCAAGATGATGTGATTTTCACATTGCATTTTATGAACATTTATACTACATAACAACTTATTAATGCATTAAGTAATTCAATACATAAAGTAAAATTAATCAAGATATAAAACCTGTTCATCAAGATGCGTTGTCTAACTTAAAATTTTGATGCAACTTATAATATATATATATATATATATATATATATATATATATATATATATATATATATATATATATATATATTTTATTTTATTTTATTTTTCAGTAATTTGATAATTTATTTTACCGGCTTTTGTGGTTTTTTTAATATAATTTTAATTCTTTATAGTTTTCTTAATGTTTTTATTTATATAGGTTCAAGTAATGAACTTAAGTTTGATAAACCATATCAAAACTTATTTTTCTTTAATATTTCTTATTTGTGAATTAAACCGATAATTATTTTTTCTTTTAAATTTTATGCCGTTTCAAGTTCATATTTTCTTACATGCAAACCAAAGGGATCAATTATATATAGTTGTGTTTTTCTCATATATATATATATATATATATATATATATATTATATATATATATATATATATATATATATATATATATATATATATATATATATATAACGGATCTTTACAAATAAATGTATATTTTTAGTATAAATAAGTTTTTACAACTAATACATATTTTAACATTTAACTTGTATTGCAATATTGGTAATTAAAATTACGGTATTCAATATAAAGCGCATTCATTACATAAAATGGTTTTAAATGCATAAATTCAATACATCAAATAGTATGTAAAAATACATATGATAAGCACAAATACATATTTATTTATAATATCACTTCAATCTTTTTACTCGCCCTTCCCGATTGTTGCATCATGCGCTTCTTTTGCCTTCTGAGTCGCAAAATCTTTTGCTGCGATGGCCTTCTCGACAGTGAAATCCTTTGCAGCCACTGCAGTTTCAACAGCGGAATTTTGCCCTTCTTTTGCCTTCTCAGTCGTAAAATCTTTTGAAGCAATGGCCTTCTCAGCAATAAAATCTTTTGTTTCTGTGGCCTTCTGAGCAGTTGCATCACTGCTTTCTTTTGTTTTCTCTGCAGCCAAGTCCTGGGCTTCCTTCGCTTTGTGGTTAGCCACGTCAGCGGTTTCTCTTGCAACCTGTGTAGTGTAGTCCTTGAACTCTCCGGCTTTTAACGTTGTTGTATCCTTGGCTTCTTTTGCTTTTTCAGCGATGGAATCCACCGGCGCCTTCTCGGTGGCTTCCTGACTTTTTCCGGTTACAGCGTCTTTGGCACCGCCGAAAGTGTCAGTAACCGCTTTAAATATGTTTCCCATGACTCCAGGGTTCTTGTCATCCTGTGGTGAAGCCATTGGATGTGAGGATCAATGTATTGCACTCTACACTTGGAATGAATATCAAAAGGAACTCGATTGCAAGATAGAAACTGTGAGTTGTGAATGGAAGAGAAGGAAATATTATATAGGGTGGTTAATAGATGAAAATCCTTGATTTTCTAAAGGTGAGACGTTAGTGGTTGGCGGTGTTCATTGCATGTGTGAGAGTGTGTATGTGTATGTCGACGGAAGATATGAAGCCTGGAATTGGACACGTAGTCCAATGTCTTTGTTGTCGACAACAAATTACGTCGATAATGAATGATAAATTAATCTTTCATGAGATAACTTTTCATTTGGGTCCTTCCTCATTTTATTTTAATAATTATTATTCATGTTTTATATCAATACATATTACATAAGATAACTTTCCAGTCGACATGTATTACATGAATACGTGGGAAAATCTTTATTGGGCCCTCTTGTTTTTTTAACAATAAATAAATAGTTATCGTAGCAAATTTGGCCAATGCGGTTTGTAAAAATAGATGGTTAAAGTCTAAAAAAAAATCAACTTTTACCACTAGTGAAACATACATGATACATGTTTCGGTGGATTTGATATTGTATGCTACATTTGAAATGACTATTACATCTTTTAATTTTCTTGAATGACTATTACATGTTTTAATTTTTTTTTTTTTATTTTAATAACTAAAACACAATTGATCCTTAAGAATCATGTTACGTACAATTTGAGCAAGAGAAATTTAATAAACAATCATCCGACTCCAAAATTAAACCCCACCACAACATACACCTAAAGAATTTGGTAGTTCAGAGGCTTTAGCTTTCATTCAAGATTAAAAAAATATTTATACAGTGGGAATCCCCCGAATACCTGGGAATCCTAACGGATCATAGCTTAGGTTTAAACAAAAGATAACAATAATTTAAAAAATAAGATAAATGTTAAAAAAAAAGGGAACTGATGACTCTTTAAAATCCTTTACTCCACCTCAAGTGGAGCATGTAAGTTCCGAATGCCTAGCTTGTGAAGTAGAAACTGAAGATGTTGTGATCCTAAAGCCTTTGTAAACAAATCAACTACTTGATGTGTGGTGTGTATATGCATGGGACGGATCTCCTTCGACTGAACTCGCTCACGGCCGAAGTAATAATCCATTTCACTATGTTTTGTTCTTTAGTGAAAAATTGGGATGTTGGCTATGTGTCAGGCAAATTGATTATCACAAAATAATGGTGTAGGTCCAACCCAGGGTGCTTCTAACTATTTCAATATCCATCGCAGCCATAAAGTTTCACTAACAGGAGATGCCATGGCCCTCTATTGAACTTGTGCAGAAGAATGTGATACAACAAAATCTTTTTAGTTTCCCAAGAAATTAGTGCATCTCTAAGAAGAAGAAAATACTCAGTGTGTAAACGTCTAGTAAAAGAACACCCAAGCCAGTTTGCATCATAATAAGTAGCAAGATTCATCCCACCTACTTTTTGGATAGAATAAACCTTAACTTGGTGTAGCTTTCAAGTAATGTAAAATCCAATGTGTTGCATCCATGTGAATTTGTCTAGGGTTAGAGACAAATTGACTTAAAATGTTGACCGGGTAGCGCTATGTATGGCATGGTGGCTTATAGGTAAAAAAAGTCTCCCTACGAGGCGCCTATATTAACTCGCATCAGGCTGAGGACTATCCTTGGTTTGATCAATTTTCAGATTTTGTTCCATTAGGAATTGAACTAGAAAACAACCACTCACCCCGCTATCTTCCAGGATATCCAAAGTCTACATTTGTTGGCTCAAGACTAGACCATTTGTATTTCGAGCCACTTCTATGCCTAGAAAGTACTTCAACAGACCAAGCTCCTTGATACTAAACATCTTATCTAGATAGCCTGTTGTTTCTTGCACTTTTGATGCATCAATTCCAACTATTACGACGTCATCAACATAGATAACAAGAGCAACGAAGATTCCTTGATTCTTGTAAAACAAGAGTAAATGATATGAATGTGATTGTTTGAATTTTACATTTCACAATGTTGTTGTGAATTTTTTATACCAACTGCGGGAATCTTGTGTTTAGGACATAGGGGGATTTTCTTAGTCTCCACACTCTTGTATCTCTGTAACACCGTAAAATTTAAAACAAATTTTCACATTTTCAAACACGTTTTAACAAACACATTTAAAACCAAAATCCCATTGTATCATAACTTTGGTTCACAAAATATTTCCCAAGATCAAAATACATAAAAATCAATGCGTGTGTACGAATCATGCCGGCGCCTTCCCGCGATCATCACTGGTACCTGAAACACATAACACATAACACTGTAAGCGTAAAGCTTAGTGATTTCCCCAAAATGCCATACATAACACATACTACCTACTCGAGGCTATAACTCTGTGGGCCCGTGGGCCCTAACTCTATGGACCCTCTGGTCCTAACTCTGTGAACCTTTCGGTTCTAACTCTGATATACTTTGATATAAATCACATAGAAACAATGAAGTACAACACATCACATAATAGCATACGATAACTTTGGCACATAACTTTAATTACCAATCCAGGTAAAGTATAGTGAGAAAACTCACCTCAAATGTCCCGGTAAATCACTGACTCGGTAGAAATACGATCTAGCCTCCTCCTAAACACATAAAGTAATACTCTCATAAATATAACTCTCAGAACTAGACTCCACTCTCTCTAGGCACCCTTAGAAGGGTAAAAGACCATTTTACCCCTCCTTGGCTCAAAGGCCCTCATTGTTGACCAAACCCTAAAAGTCAACCAAAGTCAACAGTCAAACTTTGACCCGACTCGGCGAGTGCACTTGGGCAACTCGGCGAGTCCACCTATGTCCACTTAAATCCTTAGTCCCATTTAACATGTCGAGTCCCTCCCTTTACTCGACGAGTCCCCAGGTAAGAATCGCGGGGCCACCCCGACTCAACTTGCCGAGTCTTAAGAACAACTCAGCGAGTACATGTCATGCAAAAACTACATTGACCTCCTGAGGTCAGATCTGTTCCTCTAATATATAGATCTGGCCTTCCCAAGCATAATAATCACGTAAAGTCCAGACCTTGACACCCATATATCATCTAGATGGTTTCATTTGGTGATTTAGCGCTAAAAATGGCATTCGAAGCTCATAACTCCCAAGATAACTCATAAAGCTCCAAGGGTTAAGGTCTCTGGACCTCTTTGAGTCCAGATCCAAAGCATAAACTCGATAGGGGACCAATTGCTCCACATAATCATCGTCAAAAGAGGTTAGAAAACCCTAACTCTAAGAATCAATACAAAAACTGAAGAAGGTCCGAATAAATACCTCAAGTTGAAGTCTCTGGACTCTGAAACCACTAGAATCACACCTCCTTCAGTCTCCTCTTGCTCTTGGTCACCTTCTTCTTGCTAAACCAAACATAGAAAGATCAATTACGGCTTCTCCTTCCTCCCAAACGATCTATCTCACTTAGGGTGCTCTCAAGGGACTGGTAGCCGCAATGGGAGGCTAAGAGTGCCCTTAAATTAAACAGCGTGGACTCGCTGAGTCTACTCATGGACTCGCCGAGTCCAAACGCGAACCCGGATGATAATCCACGACCCTACTCGGCGAGTCTAAGCATCAACTCGCCGAGTTCCTTCACAAATTCCAAAAATAAAATATTAGAATAATTTACCTGGGAATTCGGATGTTACAATCTCCTTCTTTCATCAAACCTTGGGGTATATTCATGTATACTTTTTTATCTAAGTCCCCATGTATGAAGGCACCGTTGACATCTAGTTGATGTATGATCCAATCCCTTTTTACTGTTACTACAAAGTATGCCATGAATTAATCATCTAATCCATCCAAAAAATTGATCCAACGTCCTACTTTTAGTTTTCAGGTTGTCGAAAAACTTTGATCCTTCCTAATTATCCTCCTACCCATGTAAAATTGCAACACGTGTCATATTTTGATAAAATTAATAATATTTAAGACACTTGTCATTATTTCACATGGGTAGGAGTAGGGATGAGCAGCAGAACTGGGCATCCACTTTCGGAACCGGAACCAACTCGAAAGCGTCTGCTCCGAAATCGAAACTGTATTAAGCGGTTTCGGTTTCGGTTCTGATTAGGGTGGGTATCCACCTACATTCATCTCTAGGTAGGAGAATACGTAGGAATAAAAGTAGGAGGCTATTTAATTTCTCTCTCTCTCTCTCTCTCTCTATATATATATATATATAGGTCCGGTTCCGATCATGACTCTTTATAAAGTAAGGACTCGTAAGGACACCTTAAAAACTAAATTTTTTTTAAAATGAAACAAATCATAAAATCGAGCATAGTACTATATCCTGGGGAAAAAAATTGGATTTGTTTTTTCATAATTAATGATTTAATCATGGAAGATAAAAATTGAATCATGGATCATAAAAATGATATGTTCTTCATTTTTAATGATCCAAAAAAAATTTCCATATTTTTTTCTCTCTAATATATAGTACTATGTTAAGATTTATGATTTGTATTTTGTTTTAGATATTTTTTTTCTATTTTTTAAAGGTATCTTCAGGAATCCTCACTTTAAAAAGAGTTCTCATCCAATCCTGGTATATATATATATATATATATATATATATATATATATATATATATATATATATATATAGAGAGAGAGAGAGAGAGAGTTAGGTTTAAATGTTTCTACTATCTATTGTGTACATATAATATTAAATACTAAATATTTAGTTATTTTAAGAAAGTATTTAATGTATATTAAATGCTAAATATTTAATTAATGCTCATTATACCTTCAATGTACATATAATATGCATTAATTATTTTATTAAAATAACTAAAATGATTGGTCCATAATCCATTCTACATGCACATAGTAGCTAGTTTGAACAAAATAACATAACCCTATATATATATATATATATATATATATATATATATATATATATATATATATATATGTTCAGGTATTCAAAGTAATTATTGTG